TGGCAACCGACTAAGAGTGACTTCGCTTTGAGCGTCTAAGGTATGACTAAGCTTTTTTGCATATTTACATTTGCTTGGCAGCAGAGAGTCGCACAGGCAATAGCAGCCATTTTGCAGCGCTGTGAAATCAGTCAGTTAGTAAATGTATGTGTGTGTGTGCACACAAAAACATATCAATTAGCTGGGTAATGTCGAATATTCCACATCATATGGCTGTTTTCATACCACGCATACTTCTGTGTATGTGTCACAAAATGTGGTTATATGCTGGTATGTATGTGTGTGTGTTTGCAGCCATGCAGTTGTGCTGACTGCCGGATGACATTTAATTACCTCAATCATTTTGCTAAATGGTTACATATTAATAAATTACAAGCTGTCAACATGTGTTGCTATTTATGACTACGTGCTGTATGACACATACACATATCGTACATGTGCATAGTATATATGTATGTATATTCGTTTATTTATATAAATATATATAAAATATATATTTAGCTGTGTTTTGGTTTTGTACGCCTGCTGGGTGTAACAAATTATATGAATATGCAAAAAAGCTGGTAAAAATGTGCAAATTAACTATATATACATTTAGTACGCATATACATACAAGTATGTGTGTTGAAACATAGCGTTGCAAATTTTTATATATTAGGGTGATCCAATTTTTTTTAAAAGTTTTATTCCTTAAAAAATTGTAAAGGCGTTGCATATTTTTATACATACATATATTAGGGTTGGCCAAGTTTTTTATTTTATATTTTTTATTTTACTTCGTTTGCGTTTATTAAAAATTTTAGCATATTTATAGATATCAGGGTGGGTCAATTTGTTTTATTTTTATTCCTTAGCTAAAATTATATTATAAAATTTAAAATTTTTTTATAATTTTATTCATATATATGAGAACCACTCGCTTAGTTTCTGAGATATCGATCACACAGAAACTGCTATTTTATGGGAATCGTTGATATCGGATCACTGCAGGGTATAGATGTCATACAAACTGACCTATTGAAATCAAGTTCTTGTATGGAAAACTATTTTATTTGACAATATATCTTCACCATATTTTGGATGGCTTATTGCCTGCAGCAATGACACAATCTACAAGGAAATTGTTCAGATTGTACCACTATAGCATATAGCTGTCATACAAACTGACGATCAAAAGCCAGTCCTTGTAAGGAAAACTTTTGTATTTGGAAAAAAACTTTTACGAAATTAGGGACAATTCATTGTCCTAGAGAGCACCATAAACTCTAAGCAAATTGTTTAGATTGGAGCACTATAACATATAGCCGTCATACAAACTGAACGATCGAAATCCAGATAGATATCATTTGATACCCCCTCTGTGCTTTAAGAACTACACCTATGAAGCGTATTATAACAATATATTTCAAAATTTTTTTCTTGTTGTTTTTGTCATTTCTGACGATATTTTCTTTATATATTTATAAAGAAAAAAATTTAAAAATGTAAAAATTTTAATAATTTTTTTAGCCCACCCTAATATATAATATATATAGGTACATGAATATATGTGCGTATGTTTGTATATATATTTATTATGTGCATAAAATATATATTTCTGCATAAAAGTAATATTTTATAAAATTAATCTGTATTATTTACATGCACTGCCGGCTGCGCTGTGATATATGGCTGCCAGGGCGTATACGCAATTTAATGGCTTGTAGGCGTGAAAATGAGCGCTTTACGTTATGCAGATAAACTTACACACACAGAAGCACGCGTGCGGGTGCTGCTTAATTACAAGACCGTGCGTGTTGGTTATTAATGAGGTTTGAAAAGGTTTATCATGTGACTTTTTTTAAGTGCTCCATTCACCTATATCACCTCTAGCACTTCACATTTCACTTGTCACCAGCTCATACGGCAGGCCACAAAGTTGATATATGCATGCGGTTACGTTACTTATACACATATACATATACACGTGCGCACTTGAAGGCGCTCAAATGCATTGCCGCTTCAATAGCGCTGCACTAAAGCGCATCTTTATATATGTACTTATATATATATAATATGTATTTTTATATATAAATATGTAAAGAATATTTGTATAGTTAGTTCCCTAGCTATCGGTAAATCAGCGCTTTAAACATGCTTACTGCAGCCTCATTTCAGCAATTTATTAGTTCAAGTGGCGACGTGTGTGTCTCTAAAAGCTAAATTTCCCGCCAGCTGCTTATCTTTCTCTTACATTAGTTCAATGCTATATGTTACGTATACGCCCTGTACACCCACATATTGTATATGCAAATTTTCACCTTTACCAGTTGTTGTTGTTGCTTTTTCATTGGCTACATGCAAATCTAATTAGGCGCCCAGTCAACGCAAATAACTAGTTTTCCCCTTGGCCACAAAGTTGCATGTCGTGTAACGGTGTAGCGGCGTAGACATCGTTATGTAATTAATTATAAAGTTTTTGCCTTGTGAAATACTTGAAGGCTCAACGGTGTTTTTGAAATCAACTAGAAATTACTTAATTGAATTGCACGCACTACACACACACACACACACGCAAATGCGGGTTGCTGCAATTTATTGCAAATATACAAGTATGTATGTGTGACTTTGTTAGCATAGATTTTTGCTTGCTACCCGCTGGCAAGCATATCTTTGTCGAAATAGTTGGAAAATCACTAAGATTTGCCATTTACAACAACACTTTCTGCAGCTTGGCGGAAAAACCAGAATTATGCCTTTGTAAAGCGTAGGCATGTGTGGCAAGTAGCGCCATTTTACAACTGTGGGTGAGAATATATGTTATTATTGAGGTATTTTTGTTTAGGTTTTGGGGGTTAAGCACGAATATGACACAGCTACTATGTCAGAGAAGTATATTGTATATTTTTACTACTCTTTTAGCGTACTTACTCACACATATTTGGTGTAAGTGTCTACTATCATGTCAATGCCACTGCTGAAAAGGTTTAAACTGACTTCACCTTGAAACTGTGTTAATGGCAAGTAATTACTAGAGGAGTGTGGCTTGTGAATGTGCCCATACAAAACGATTGACAGAACTTCACTTAAGTGGCGCGCTGTCTGTAGCAAGGTAAGGTATCTTCTGAATTGCTGATGGATTATATGAAGTTCTTTTTCTGGTGAAAGAAACTTTAGAGATATCGCTATAGCCTACGGGATAATAATCGTGTGTAACAGATTTTTTTTTGATGTCGGTGGAAAAATGAGATCGCGCTTACGTTGAACCTTATCCAGAATGAAACTTGGAATTGCTTTACTAATATGAGGACCATATTCGAAAATCTGTTCTAATCGGTTATATGTTATAACAGATTCTCTTCGCCATATACCAATTCGTTGTTTATACAAAGAAATAATTCTATGAAATTCTCTTATATTTAAGAACTGTGATTTTCTTTTGATCAAAACATCCATTAACGTTCGTTTGACCTAGCTGCTATTCATATATTAATTGGCTGCATATTATAATAATTTTCAAACACGAATTTCTTAGCTTTTGATCGGTCAGTTTGTCGGCTGCATGCTATAGCGATCCGATATTGACGATTCCGACAAATGAGCGACTTCTTGTTGAGAAAACGACGTCTGTAAAATTCAAGGTCGATCACTCTGATAACTGAAGGATTGCTTCGCATATATACAGACCAACGGACATGGCTGGTTCCTTGGATGTTAAAAACTTCGCGGCGAATTTAATATACCGTATTCAGAGGAGTAAGACAGAAACTGCGTAGTTGTCTCGAGATATATACGAAAAGGACCGTTTAATAAGCTCGTCAGTCGCGCTATCTGTTTTGGTGTTGTACGAATGTGATTTATTGTTGTAGCTATTTGCCAAATAACTTTGATTCAATTGGGATTTAGTCTAAATCTCTTTGTCCATAAATTGTTTATATCTTCAAATGTACTACTACAAGATATATTATCTTGCCTTAAAATAATCAATGCAGCGATTGAGTAACTGAAAGCTTATAAAACGTAACAAAAATCATGGTACTAAATTTGAGTTATAATTTTCCTAGATCAGTAGTAAGTACACATAGTATTTTTGTTCTATTTTGGGAATACATTTTTGCATGGGAGAGCCCAAAAGAACAAGAAACCTTATATTTCCTTTCGAACATTTCCTTTTACAGCTCGACTACTCCATTTGTTTTGACTAGCTACTTGACCTTACCAATTCAGAAACTAGAGCTCTAAAGCACATAAATAGACAAGTAAGTGAAATTGTATAAAGTGCGTATTTCTGATATACTAAACTCTCCCTGATGGTCTGTGTAATGTGAAACTTTGATTTTTGCTTTAGCAGCGATGACCTGGCGGAAGAAAGTGCTAAGCAACATGATTTTATACGGAAACGTCAACACAAAGATAAAGTTGACTGTTTTCGAAGTGCTATCTCACGCTCTCGCTGTCCGTCTCTCTCTCACTCTATCTCTCCCTATCTCTTTCTCCCTCTCTGTGATACACATATATCAAGTGGCTAATTCTGTAACAAAATTTGTATTATTATATGCCAGAGATGAGAGTTACACTCAGATTAAATCGACCTCCATTTGACAGTTAATATTATACAATATGATCATTAACATAAATACCAGAGTTAGGAAAAAAAATTTATGAAATATCAACTTTATTCGGTAGAATACTTTACTACAAGTATATACTGAGTTATTCTGTTGCAAGTGCTTTCCCAATATCAAGAATATCTGTTCTAAACTTTTGCTATATATTTGGCAGATGTTTTCCTAACTCCAAACTATCGTCAGTATTATCAAGCTGTTAAAGCTTACATAACCTCGATAATTTTAAAACATTTTATTATTTATTAATTATTTATCAAATATATAAAATTATTAATTCGATAAAATATATAAAATTTTCATATAATAAATATAACAACTCTACCTTGCAGGTGAATTGTAATACCAAACTCTCCCATAAAAATCAAATTGGTCCCAAAATATTATGTATTTTTTGTTTCAAAATTTTATTTCTGTCACAACTTGCTATATTTGATTTTCATTTTTCCACTTTCTATTTTGTTTTCATTTCACTCAAAAGAATATTTAATTCTGGACAAGAACAAACAAAAACGAAAATTCATACATATTTCTGCGAGCCGAAATAATTTGCTAAAATTTCTGTACAAAATTTGGCCAACATTTGGAAGACGTGAAATTTTCTTGTTCCAGTCGCATTTCGCAGTAAAATTTCCAACATTAATTCGATTAGAAAAACCGCAGTCCGCAGCGCACACCGGCTGCGGCATGTACCCTCCTCCATTTCCAACAGTCTGGCGCGCATCAATTTGCTCAAGAGCCGCATGCGTTTGCCAAACAACAGCGAGCGCAAGCAGGAGTATATAGCGCATCGTGCGCGCGTGCAGAACGCCAAAAGTGTTGTGAATAGCCAACCACCATTACGTCCACTGAATCGGCCGCGACGCGAAATGTCATTCACCGAGATGATGAACTCCGTGCGCACAGCCATACAGCGACGCAGCAACTCGCGCACCTTCACTACGGCGCCCGCCTCGACAACACCCTCGGCCACGGGCACTACAAGTATTTCGACTGTGGCGACAACGACTTCGCAGACAGCACCGTCTGTACGTTTTGGCAAACATGTAAGCAACAGCGACACGCTCGGCAGCTACGAACGTGACAAGTCCGCGATGCTCTTATACGATTGCAAATCGTGCGGCACTTTTGGCTGTTGCTGCATCTGTGGCGGCGCCGGCGATGGGCGGCACTGCTTAGCCTCCTGCGTCGATATGCATGAGAAATTCCCCGGTCATGCCGGTGTCGATATTTGCGAAGATGGGCGCTCTTCGTGTAATTATGTGCCGCGCTGTCGCAGGGGTGAGAGCTTTAGCAGTAACAGTGGCATTGCCGTTTTTGGTCAACATGGTCCACATGTTCATCATTTTGAGTCGCCTTCGCGCAGCTTTCCGGAGAATAAAAATAAAAAAGTCAAACAAACGTCGTCGGCTGAGCAACGTGCCGCCTTTCAGCATGCACGTCTGGCGATGCCTTTACGTCATTTCTGGCATCGCATCACACGTAAAGAATGGAATGATGACACGCGTATACCACCAAAGCCGCATCGCTCCTCTTACGCGCTGAACAAGAACCACCATCGTAAGCGTTGCGTTCATCACACATCCTCCAGAGACTCGAAAGAGGATACGCAAGGCAGCGCCGCGTCTAATCAACTTATTACGCGTGATGAAAGTAAGCATTACGGCATACCGCTGCATGTATTGAAACGGTATCAGGATATTACAGTCTCAACGGATGAGGGTATGTTGCGTCGCTTGTTGCGACCACGCATCTTCTTCGATCTCGAGGTTAAGGGCATACGTCCGTTGGGCCGCATCGTCATACAGCTGTTCACCGAGGCCTGCCCAGAGGTGGTGCTCGAGTTTGTGCGCATGTGCACCACAGAGAATGGCGAACGCATGAGCTTTACGCGACTCTTTCCGCCGATGTGGCTGGAAGGCGAACTGGCATTGACCGACAATAAGACGCTGACGGCTCATAGTATCGAACACGATACGACTGTATTGGATCACGGTAGCGGCGCTGGTGTATTGTCGTTTCCCAGCCGCTACGTGCGTGGCAGCAAGCGGCGGTTTCTCAGCTTTTCAATCAGTTTCAAACCGCTGAAAGTGCTTAATGGCAAACGCATCGCGTTTGGTCGTGTGCGGCGTGGTCTTTGGATATTGGATGCCGTGCAGGATTACGGCACTAATAGCGGTAAACCTCAGCGTGATATAATTGTGACGAGTTGTGGCATGTGCAAGTGACAAGGCCAAATTGCAGAGAGTGCGGGGGTTGCGTGGTGTGAGAGTTGGTGTTCGAACATAATCGACAATCTGGCTGACGAATTTCGTTTCAAATTGGAATTCAATTTAAATTTGTTTAAAATGTATTTCGATTTGATAATAAAGTTTCCAAGCTATAAGTATTTTACTAAAAAACTTTGGGTATAACTGTGTGTGGCATCTTCGGCAAACTTAATTTCCAATGGCTTAAAAAGTTTCACGTATGCAACGAAGGGTCGGCAATTTGAAAATTTAAAGTAAACTCAAGCAACTTCAGAAAGTAAGATGAACAGGTTGCTTTTAAAATTCGATAGATGGCGCTAGAGTGAAGCTCATTTTAAAAGTCTTTCTGAAGCGGATGAATACTGGTGGTAAAAGTTGGTCACTCACGATCACTTCATGCGAAAATGTCGGATTGCGATGAGCCGGCACCCACAGTTGTCAAGCAAAGTTTGACTGTTGGGAAGACTTTAATATGTATTTGGTAGGATTGTGAGGAAAATGTTTAGTAAAAGCTGTCCACTCACGGCTAACTTTTACTTTGGACCAGTACTGTCAACAATGGTAATGTCTGTAATAAGCAATTGTCCAGTGGTGGCCAGCTTTTGCCCAATGGTAGAGGAGTTCTGTTCTATAAGGAACAAAAAAAATTCTGTTAGAGACCACACACATCGATAGTGACTCGTCAGAAACTCGGAGAACTTGGTTAGATATTCTTATGCTTCCATCTTAAAGTTCGGATCTGTCACCAAGTGATTATTACCTATCCCTGTCTATGGTGAAAGTTTTGCTGGTGAAAAATTTGCCACAAAGAAGCTTGTGAAAATAGACTGTACTAGGTTTTTGCCAATTCGAATGAAGGTTTCTAGGAGAGTGGTATTATGAAATTACATTTAAATTGACAACAAGTCAGATTTTGTGGAAAGATTAATAAAAAGCTATTTTCTCTAGGATAACTCCAAATTATGGGCAGAAACAGAACCAGGACAGAATCGGTTATGATTAAATCGTTCTTATACTCTGAAGGGATAAACATAATTCTTCTATTAACAGGGGAGCTTCAAAGATTGATATTTTCCAAGGTGTTAGGAGAGATTTCCGTCTCTACAAAATTTTTTATTACTATCTTTTCACCTTCCGTAGACTTAAGCATCAGAGAGTTCCCCCGCGATTTGTTCAAATCAAATATACAAATATCATCGGCCATCAAATCACTAATACATCCTCATGGACCAATATATGTACATTCAATGAAAAAATCGAAGAGTTTGAAGAAAATTGCAGTGGTCGTTAAATGCGAATAAGTGAAGTGGTCTCCCTTCTTATGTGTGCAAAAATTGAAGAAATACAGCATTTCATAAATTCTTCGTGCCAATTCAGCCTTCTTTTACGTTGCTCATATATGCAAATTCGGAGTACCGAAGCGCCTACACGAGCATATACATACAATGTACGTATATTATAATACTTGTACATAAGTGGTAAATTCAGTTATTGTAAAAACGAAGAACGGCAAAAATACAATTACCGTGAGCGCGACTGCTTGCCTTCAGCGCTTACTTGCATAACATAAAAAAAAAAAAGTATCGATGCTTTTTTGCCAATTTAAATATTTTCAGGCAACACTCTCCTCCACTATATCTCTCCACCACTTTATGCTGCTACAGGTGACTTCTGTGCTGACAGCTTGGCGCGAGGGAAATTACATTTTTGCTTGACTGAATTTACATGACATTCTATAGGCGAGCACGGAAGCCAACAGCAGGAAGGCACTCATATGTAGATATGTCTGGCGAAAGGTGTGGCAATCGGCGCAGTTGTGAGACAGCGCGGAATCGCAGAGTTGAGTTGACGATGACATCAATACCGAACGGCAGGCGTCAGCAGACTGTCAGCATTCGAGTCTTTTGAGTGGCACTGTGAGTGCCGCTATTGATGGGCTTGTCATAGACTCTGTCGCCGAACCAGCAAGTTGAGTAGTGAAGCGGTGGAGTCGCCAGATGTTTCATGCGCATAGCAGGTACATGACTTTAGTGAGAAGACGCAAGCGGCAGACTTGTAATGCCGATACTTAATGGCTGTGCTTTTTCGACATTTCTTGTTCACTTTGCGATATTTTTTTTTGATTTTTATTAATTTTTGAGTTTTGCCTTTTCGCTTCTATAATATGCGCGCCAATCACTTTATTATTGACGCAAATACAAAGGACCAACGCGTAAATACCGTAATGTGTTGCTGCTGTGTGCTCAAGTGGCATAAAGTTTTTGCAAATTCAGAATATGGTGCGCTCATTTAGAGTTTTTATTTATCGGAAACCCTTGCCATCATAAAATCCACCATTATGATACCCTTTTATTTGATGCCATTGTTATTGACAACCACTTCGTTGGATCAAAAACGTGAAGTCGCAGGCGCTGTGTTTTCAAGTATTTGCGCTTAAGTCTGGCAAATAAAAGGTATGTTGACTCTTACGCGAAATCTCTCGGCAAAGAGTTGTATGTGGGAATACAAACAAAACAAAAAAAAAATAACAGCAGAAAAATTATAAGAACGAGCGCAGTCGTCTCCGATTGAAGTCTTGTGAAAGACAATAGCCATTTATGAATGCTATGGGAACTACTGCAACGACTACGTAAAGAGAGGGTCTATTCACGATTGTTTCTGAATAAATATATAGCCTTAAACATGCACTATCTTTTTAGTTTTCATAAAAGTTCATTTCTGACCAACAAACAAGCTCTGGTTCTACTTGTGTTATTGGTCGTCAACAGCCTATGGCGTTTTTCTCTTAACCCAGAGATGTCGTTGTTGCTCAGCCACGTCTACTGGATCAACACACAGTCGGCGTTGTCTCCACCAGAAATTGGTAGAGAAGGATCTTCATCCTTCAAACTGCTCTGCTGTAATGCGAGCTACGCACCACCAATACCGCTGCTATCTAACTCGAATAGCTGCTCGAGACGCGATAATTCGACGGTCCGCCTTCAGTTTGCGGCATGTTCTCACGACTTTTTTGGTTGTGGATAATCTCTTTTATCGTAGACGATTGCATTTATCCGACTCAAATTGGTTAGTATGAGTTCTTTCCGATATTTAGCAATTCAAAAACTCAAGACCCTGTTCCGTTTTCAGTTGCTAAGATTCATCATTGTTACTCAAGTCAGTTTATGTTGTCAGCGAGTGTTTTAATATACATAGTGGTAAATTCAGATAGCTATCTGCCAAAGAAGTAAATAATTCTATACTTTTTACGTGTAAAGTCTAAACTCTTACATTATTTACTACATGTTAATAATCGTAGCAAGCTCGCAAAATAATCAACAATGAGAGCATGTATATTCGAGTATATGTACTTCTACATATTGTTTCCTAAGACTCCGTGGGGGGCTACAATAAGACTTTGTCATTTATTTTGGATTTACTTGATTTGACTCCAACTTTTTTGAACCTTAGATATTTCGATGTCCAAGTTTCTTTTTCAGGTAAGAGCGCATCGGCTTTTCCATCGGCTGCCTTATGGATTCCAGTCGAAAAAAGTTTCGGATGATTGTGTCGTGATTTCGTCTCAGAATATGCTCAAGACAGCCTCAGATTCTTTTGAGAAGTTCAACCCATCACTCAACCCTGATTTCTACGCGACCATAAGCCCGTGTTGGACAGGGCGACGTGCCAGAAAATGCAGCAAATATTGCGAAGACATCGAGCTTGAAAACTTGCAGCTTTTGCATGTCAGAGCGAGATTCCATGTTTCACAGCTGTATAGCAATGTAGACTTAATATTGCATTGTATATAGGTACTTGCCCTTAAATAAGTGGTCGGCATAAGAAACTGCGAATGTTTGTGGGAAAGGAAAAAAAGAATAACACACCCAGTGAGAATGTATGTATGGTATGTACACTGACATTTAGAGAATATTTACTCTATCGACCTCCTGTGCTATAACTTCCAATATCAGAAAGAGTAAAATATATTCCGTTGCTTTGAGAATAGATTTTTTTACACCAATCCGCCCACTTTCGAGCACTCACCGTAAATTGAGGCGGTGTTGTCTTTTCCTACATTCAGTACCATACCACCCAGATATGCTCTAATAATATTTGAGAAAATACTTGTGCAAAGATTGATTGCAAGTTGGCATGTAAGGTATATGTATACAATATTTTTGCAAGCAAAGATCAGACTGTTATCAAATCGTCAAATCAAATCAAATCGTTTTCTCATTGATTTGTCGCATGTCACATGTCGTGTGTCGCATGTAATTTATATTTAAAAAAGTAAGTTTTGTTCAGAAATAATATTCTTTGATATTTTAATTTATACTTCTAGCAAACATAGTAAGAAACTCAGTGGTAGTAAACGTTATATTCTTTTAAGTTAGACAAGTTGAGTCCGAAATTTACTGTCTCACTTAAAAGTTGGAGCACCACGCGCTTAAGTAATTGAAGTAGAAAGAGAAAATCAAATAAATCAAATTGGCCAAATGCACAAATATTTGTTTTGATTTTAAAAGACTTAAAGAGTCAAAAACAGCTAGGCAAACAAACCAATTTTCTACGCATATCAGCAGTCAGCAGGCCTTACGGCTACACCTCAGGCGGGCGGTTCCGCGCATTTTGCATACTGAATGGCCACGTGTCGACCGTTTTGTGCACGAAATTCCTTAAAACCAGAAATACACATACTTAAACGACTTAAGCTAAGTTTGATATACGACTTTTGTGTACCATATATAATATATAATATGTTTGTAAGTAAATACTGTACAAGTGTACACAAATTGAATTTCAAGGTAGTTGAAGTATTTGTAGCGTCGGAGGTCTATGGCACGAGTAATGTTTTCATAAAATTGTATTAAAAAGCTTAATGGATAATACTTTAAACGCTCGTGGTAATTCAACTGAATATTATATTAACAGTTATGTCATAAAACGGTACAACTGGGCAATAAAAGTGGCCAAGTGGGGGGAAGGAGTACTTTAGTGTAAACTTTCGTCGAAACTTTCGTGCGAGCGCTAGAGTGTTATATACCTATAATCTACATTTTATAACCGACCAACAAAAATTAGCGAGCAAAAAATTAAATAAACAACAACAATAACTAAGCATAATATGCAAATAACATTAAATTAGCAAGCGTCTAATATTATATGAAGCA